GGCCTTGGATTCCTCCGGATTTACCACCGTCCACGGCAGCCTCCGAAAGACATCGAGCAGCAAAGACATTTGGCGGCTCTGCACCCACCGCCGTCGTGCTATGAAACACTGAAGACCACGGGCAGCCTTTCACGGTGGGGCTGGAGACACAGCGATCCAGCTCCCATAAACACACCCGGGGGCTGCAGCGGTCGCTCTCTTTTTGCTTTTCTCTTGTTCTGTTTTGGTTTTTTTTAACTGACAAAATACACTTTTGGGACTGTCTACTCTGAAAATAGCTGCGGGAGGGTCTGGCGAGGGAGGGGGGGGCTGTTTGGCTTCTATTTCTACAGGCTGCCCTGGTGCAGCTCTACAGTTTGGTGGACGATCATGCAGGTTTTATTGCAGCTTGTGTGTGTGATTTTTTTTAAGTAGCCCAGCTTCAGTATCAGGTAGCCCCGGAGGTGGGTTTCTCTCCCCTCCCCACCCGCTCCAGCCACCGTCTCTCTGTCGCTGTGCCGGCCAGGCAGCTATTCCGTGGCCATCTGCTCGATGTGGTCGCTGAGCAGCTTGTATTGCTCTGCAGAGGAGAGAGAAAAGGGTGCTGGGAGGGTGCTGAAGCATCCCGGCCAGACAGGCGGGCTCCATCCCTCTGGGACCCCGTGAAGGGCCTGCGCATCCCCCGGGCTCGCCCCTACCTTCCTCCAAATTGCCGATGGTCGCCTGCTTCTTCAGGAAGTCGCTGCAGAGCTTCTTGTTCAGGCCGAACGCCAACATGTTGTGAATGAAGGTGCTGAGGAAGGACAGAGGTGCGCTTGGTGAGGGAAGGGCCAGGCTCCCCTTTCTTCCCCCCACCTTCCTCTTCCTCTCTGCAGCCCCTTGTACCGGGCGCTAGGATGATGCTCGGCTGTGGGAGAGCGTGCTAGGTCCCTGCGGCGCCCGGATTTGCAACGTAAGGGGCGGGAGCAGGTCCCGGGGAGAAGCATCAGGCATCCTCTCACCATAAGGGATGTCCCCAGCGGGGGAACATCTGTAAGGTGTCCCACCCACAGCTGGCGAGGACACACCGAGGAGCCCGGCTGCATGAGCGATGGTCCCCGTGCCCTGCTCACCCCAGCTGCCCGAAGGTGATGTTCTCGTTGAAGCGGAGGCTGTCGTCACGCTCCTCCTGCGTCATGTGGCACCACTTCTCCCTGCAAGGCACAAGCCCGTCTGGCACCGCCGTCACCCCGGGACCCCCTGCCTTCATCCCCCCCCCCAGGGCCACGCTGCCTGAGGACAGGAGGGCACTGAGAGCCCCTCGGCTGCCACCGCACGTGCAGTGCTGGATGAGCTCGCACACCTGCATCCATCCGCAGATCTCTCGCCCTGGGGCAGAGCAAGAGACACCCCACGAAAAAGTCTTCTTCAACCTTGGCTTTCTCCTGAAACCCCTGACTAAGAGCTAGGAAATAGCATCGGCCTCTCCATCTCTCACCTTTGGTGCCATCGCTTCGGCGCCATCGCTTCGGCAAGGGGGACGAGTGAGGAAGCAGGGGGGTTTGCAGCTCTTGGGGATGCCCCTCCCAGCAGGGCTCTGCTAAAGCCCCCCAACCTACCAGGCACCTCTCCCCCATCTGCAGCAGGGCTCCAACTTCCCGAGCCTCGAGGAAGCCGCTCCCCAAAAATACCTCCCCCCTCCGACAGCACGGGGGGCTCCCGTACCCCTCCCCACGGCCCCGCTCGGGGACTGAAATCCCAAATCACAGCACTGCCCTGAGGATGCTCCGGCTCCATTCCGGCTCCCTGGCAAATGCAACCGCAGCATTGCCTTAAAGGAAGGGTTTTTAAGCTCTAGATGTTTGCAACCAACTCTAGGCGGTGGCAGGAGTCCCCATCCAGGTGTCCCACTTGGAGGTCTTTGGGAATAAAGCCTGTGTCACAGAAATGTCACTATGGCGGTGCAATGCTCGGGTGGTGGCAGCGGGGGGCTCAGTGCATGCACGCCGGGGAAACTACAGCTCCAGGGTGAAGCCAGCCCCCTTCTGAGAAGAAGTCAGGTGAGGTTACAGCCAAGGATAAGAGGAGGAAAAGCAAGGAAAAACAGGGATAGGTAGAAGAAAAATAGCTTTATGGAGGAGAAGGAAGAGGAGAACACCAGGGGCGGACCGCACACTTGCAGCTCACGCTAGCTCGCCGGCACGCCAAGCAAGATCGGAGGAGCTGTGTTGGGTGAAAACGGCGGCTGGGAAGAAGGGTGTCTTGCAGTAAATTCAGTGAGGTTAGCTCAGCCCCAGTGCACGTTTGTGTGGCTGAAACTGGAAAAGGACGAGTGCTCAGTCAGGCTGACCCCACGAAGGGGAGCCTGTCCTCACGCAAGTCAGCACAGCCCGGGCGTGCGAAAGCTGCTGAGCTAAGCATTCGGTCTCCAGGGGTGAGCAGCCTATATTTATAGGGCTCTGGAAACTTATATGATATGTATAAAGGGATTTAAAAAAAAAAATAAAGGTGTAATTTCTCCCAGATAAAGCTTACGATAGCAAACAAAAACCACATCCAAATCTGGAGGCTGAAAAGAAAGGAGAAGAATCAAATTAAGGGGCTTTGAAATCTGGAAGCAGAACTTCACAGATCTCCCTGGCCCACTTACAGAAGAAGCATGTTTGTAACTATTTTTTTCCTGCCTTTTTATGTTTTTGAGGGAGGAAGGGGAGAAAAAAAAATTATCAAAGTGCCCAAGAAAAATTTGCCGTGCTTCTGGTTTGTTACTCGGCAGTAACATGCCTGGGAAGGGGGAAAGCCCACATGTGGCTCTACTCAAACCCTTTGATCTTTATACCGGCACGGCAGGGCAGGCGCGGGGGGGTGCGTGACCCCCCCGGGCTGTGCTAACACCTTGCCTGTGTTTCGGGGTACCCAGGAAAGCCTCGCCGCAGCCGGGCGCTGGCAAGAACCGCACCGGTGAGACGTGGCTTCGGCCGCTCGGCATCGCTCGTCTTTCAGCGGCAGCGTTTCACCCCGCACAGCTAACCTGAGCAATGCTCTACCTGAGCAATATTTAAGTTACCCAGTTGCCGGCGCATGCCTTAGCCACGCGGAAGATTTACTGCCAAGCTTCAGAGAGCCCTCATCCTCTTGCTAATGCCATCACTTCGAGTGATTTGCTCCAAGATCGAATATCCCACGCTCCAGCAAGAGAGCAATGACTCTTCCCGCTCCCCGATCCCAGCTCGGAGCGCGGGTGGATGTGGCTGCTTTTGAGCTTTGCAACCCGGAGGACAGGCTCGTGATCGCGACATGCAGCCCTGTTTGCATTTTTCTTTCTCTCTAGGGAAGGCAGCACAAGAGTGCATTAAAAATAAATAGGAGGACCAGCTTTTCCAGCCGGCAAAGGATTCTCGGCACATCTACGCGGCAGCAGAAGCCGGGAACAAGCGGGAAGGACAGTAGACGGCGACACTTTCTCCACGAAGAGACTCAGTTCATGTCCAAAACCTGCCCGGGGAACCGTTCCCGGCACAAGCCCTTGGCTTCCCCAGCAGTTGGGCACCCGATTCCCATAGTAAAATATCACAGCTTGAAACCGGTCAGGTTTCTTTTTAAAAAGCCGCATTGAAGAGGAACCAAGCTCAACCCTTCTGGCCCTTTGGAGAGGGTGATGCACATGAAGTCAAACCTCCGGTGGCCGTTCCTCCCCCGTGGAGAAGGGCATTTCAGAGCCCCCCTGAAACGCGTTACCCCCCTCCCCAGGGCAGGATCTGGACCTGAAGTGAGCGTCGGCCTCTGGACACTAAAGCACCGAAGTATGGGGACAGACACACCTCTTCTCCTCTTCCTCCCCAGCGTTCCCTCTGGAGCGGCAGCAGAAACGGGGCCGACAAAAGTGGTGCGTGAAAGATCATGCAAGATAGAGGGATGGAGGGGAAAGGAGAGAAGAAGAGACGGAAGAAGGTTGTTAGAGGCAGAGCGAGGAAAGAGAGAGAAAAAGAGGCGTTTAGTTCTGGTTCCTTCCCCCTGTCCCTTGCCCTTCCCACAGAGGGGAGAAAAAACCTCCCCAGCTCTCACGGCAGCCCCAGGAGGACGCAGCCCGGCTGCCCCAGCGATGCCCTGGCCACCCCACAGAGATGGGCACCAGCACAAACCAGTCACCACGGACCCTGCAGATGCCTGCCATGGTCAGGCACCGTCCCTGGTGTTTCGAACCCAGCCCACGGGATGCCAGCCCTCACCAGCCAACTCCTCCCGCCAGGGATTTTAATCCTCAGTCCAGCAAGCAGCATCCCAGTTCACCCAGTGGCTTCCGTTATCCTCTCCAGAGGATTGAGGGGGGGGCACCACCACCTTCCAACCCCCCTGAGATACTCGGAGTACTCCAGGCTGCAGCTCCCAAAGCTCATTTGTTAGTCGGGCTTGTTTCTGCAGCAGAGGCAGACTCAGCCGTCAGATTAATTGAGAAAGGCACTCGGAGCAGAGAGCAGCTGCCGGTGGCGTGTGTCCTCATGAGACATTTGCTGCTGCTAATTTGGGGCCTAATCAAAGCAAATGCAGTTATGGTGACATTATTGTTCAATAGGTTCTTTCAGTGGCTTGCTTGGAAAAAAAGAAAAGCAACAGAGGAGAAAGCAGAGGTTGATCGGTGCGCTGAGGCTGGCAGAGCATCCCGTGGTGTGAGCCAGGGCTGCCTTGGCTCAGCTCAGGTTTTGGGGAGGATGCAGGAGGGCTGGCGGCTTCACGAAGTGCCGTCACTGCTCAGGAAAGGGGCTGTTCAAATGCTCTGAGCTCAACAGCTCTCACCCCGAGAGCTCAAAGCCTCAAAGCACTGCACAGACACACAGCGGGACGGTCCGGCTTCGGAGGGGTGAAACTGCGGTCGAGAGAGGAGTGAATTGCTCGAGCCCTCGCAGCAGGTCCGTGGTGACACAAGAGATGGGCACGAGCCCGGCGAGCATCTCGCCAACCCTTGCACCCCGTGGGGTCCCCATGCCCGGGCATCCAGACACTCCCTGAACACAGCTGCCCTCCGAAACGAGCAGCCCCTTCCCTCTGCAGGGTTTATCCCGATCCTCCCAGCCCTCGGGGCCAACCACGCTGCCGTCCCCAGCTCTCGGCGTCCCTGCTGGCTGCCCAGGTGCCGCGCTGGCAGCACTTCCACGGCCCTTCCTGGGGACAGCCGGCACCCAGGGCATCGCCTCCCCATCCGCTGCACCTCCCAGAAGGGCTGCACCAAGCATCTTTTCCCAGATCTGCTTGCGAGCTAAGCACCAACGGCCCGAACCCTGGCTGGGTTTTCTGGACACGCCTCTAGGGCTTGCAAAAACAATGTAAAATGAGCAAGAAAACCTTCATGCTCCCAAGTCCCTAAGAGGATGCACATCGCCTTCCCGTTCCCAAATCCCTAAGAGGATACACATCTGCCTGGCCGAGGAAAGGGATTATTTCCCTCGCTCACCTGCCCACCCCGCAGCCCAGTGGCCCCAGCGGCTTTGCAATCAGGGGTGGAAAGCGGAGCGTTTCCCCATGGTGGGTAATGTTTAGGGCCGTTAGGAGCAGAGGGGAATGCCGGGGGCCGGAGGGGACACGGCGTCTCCTTTTCCCACGGGGACACGTCCTACCTGGTGGTGGGGGACCGCTTCCTGCGCTCACAGTGCACGGCGTCGAAGAAGGCGGCGTTCCAAAACCGCAGGTTGTGCCTGCAGGGAGGGAGGGAGGTGTTGGGGACGGCCACCCCCATCTCCCCTCGCCTGCCCCCGAGTCCTCCCAGGGCCAAGCTCACCGTCTTCCCAGGGGCCAGGAGATGATTCCAGGGGGGCTAAAGAAGTCTGGCAGGTTTGGTCCATTTTTGGACCAGCTCCTTGTGTGTCTGCAAACAGACTCTCACTAGCACAAGGGATGTGCAAAGGCCACGGCCACCTCTTTTAGGGGCAGCAGCAGCTTAAAAGCACACATGAAATCTGGGGAATGTGTGGGTAAGGAGGACAAATCCCCTCCCCGGGGAGGCCAATGCCGGGCAGGAGCCAGCTCGCCCTGGGCAGGCTTTACCAGATCGGCTGCTGCTTGAGGTGCATGTACAGGTAGACCTTCTCTCCTTTCTTCTCCTCCTCTGGGCTCTGCACGGAAACTGTGGGGACACACAGTTACATGCCGAGGTCTGGATGACTCCCACCTTGCCCCCCACACACAGACTTTCCCCCCACCCCCGCCCCCCCACGCTCGGCGCC